TCCATTCAGATTTTTGTTTACTGAATAAAGTCCCTACCAATATTTTTTTACTTGGATATCTTTTCAGAATTTCCCCATCGTCATATTGGTATCAGAGGTTTCAAGTGATATGAGATTTGTTCTCAATAGTGCAATCAAGTCGAGTTGAATCAAACTTTGCATGTCTTGCATTAACTAATGCATGAATTTCCAAAAAATGTATTACATTTTAGACACAACAAAACCTAGGCTGAAATGCAGTTTAAAAGTCTTATTCAATGGAAAGAATAAACTATCATAAATGGATTGGACCTAGTCTAGACTAGAAGCAACGCTTTATATTTGATGCAAAGCATTCAATGTCAATCCCAAAATTTTAACAAGGACTGGTTGAAGAATAATGACTGAAATTTTTACACTTGAACCATGCATATTTGACATGGATACGTGAATATGCATGGCTCTTTAAGCATTTGACTAAAATATACTTTGATGTTGGAAATTGGATCAATCATCTAATATAGTGATTAGGGGCATATTAGAATTCAAAGCTCTCATAATGGATATAATGCAATGATAGTGATAATGTTGATGTAAATATGAAATAATGCATTAGCTCATATGTTAAATTTGTACATATTGTCAAATTCGGGATATTGTAAATACTATGGATCAGGTTAAATTTGTACATATTAGTAGGCATCATAATGCATTAGCTCATATGTTAACATATCATGCATGTTTTGATGAAAATGTTGATGTATGTAATCAGGGGGAAGTGATGTAGTAACGAATGAATGCTTGCCTTTGATTGCCAAGAAAAAGTATATTAAATGTTTGAGTTAGGGTTGATCCATAGGTCAATTTGTGTCAACCCTAAAAATAACTAGAATTTCAACAGAAAAAGAAAAAACATGGAAATTGCCAAAAATAAGTAATTAATTAGGGGTGTTCACATTAAATGTCAGACTAAATCGATCAAACCGGCCTGATCCAATCCGAGTTGATTGATTTTTCAAAATCATTGGTCGGTTTCAGTTTGTATGAGAAAATGAACTGATAACTTAGTTCGGTTTCGGTTTTTAATATCTTAAATGTTGACAAAACCGAACCGAACCAATTCTATATGTTCAAGTAATTATTAATCTGTCCCTATCTTATATGTTAAATGTTGATATATTTTATTTGTGTTTTGTTTGAACTTTGAAAAAATTGGTTATTTATGATAAAAACTAAAAGCGCATAATCAATACAAATATAATACAGTGGTACAATATTTAATTCAGTTTTGTATAAATTTAAATATATATTGACAAAAAAATCAATTTTTCATAAAAAATTAATCGATTTAAATATATTTTGATTTTGCATAAAAACTAAAACGAATAAACTTAAATATAAATAGATATTTTAGTTTAAAATATGTATAAAAACCAACTAAACCGATAAACCGACCCTTAATGTTTGGGTCCGTTTTGATTCAAGGTCAGCTAGTTTCGGTTTAGTTAATATGTAAACCGGCTAGGTCGGGTTGGTTGAAAAAATGACTCAAACCGACCCAACCCGACCGATGAACACCCCTATAATTAACCTTAAAATTTCAAATATAAAATAAAAAACATAAAAATTCAAAATTTCAAAGAATAATCAACAATAAATAAAGGCTAGATAATAAAGATTAAAGGGTGAAAACTTCTAATACACAAATAGTCCCAATTAGGCCTGTCAATCAAATCAGCAGGTTGACCCATAACCAAGCCTAACATAATCCAATTTTTTCGTAAGCTGGATTAGGTTGGGTCATTCGGTTGATCCATGACCCAACTTAACATAACCCAATTTTTTCTCGGGTCATTCTCAAATTCAAATAGCTAGATATGATATCCTAATTCTTAACCCTATTTTTCAGGTTGGGTCGGGTCATCCTTAAATTTGGGTAACTAGATATGATACCCTAACCCTAGGTTGGGTCAGGTCAGGTTCCGGGTCAACTTTTTGCTAGTGTAGCACTAGCAACAAGCATGCAACCAGACAAACTTGTATGAGCAGCCATCTCTCTAACCTATATCTCCTTTTTGTATTCGATGAGTAGGTCAGGTCACCCCTTGTGTAGATAGTAGATGAAGGCATATATAGCTCTTTTTAAAAATTCCAAGGTTTATATAAGTAATTATCTTAATTGTTTTCTTGTCATTAATTAGTAGGGACTTTGCTTTACTTGTGTAGTCCTTTTTCAGTTACCATAAAAGCCGTAATGTGAAGGATTCTACAACGGCTCATGTACTAAGTACATGCCCAATGGAAATGTTGTTTCCCAAAGATATCTCCCCACTTCGTCCCCTCTCCATGTTTAGTGCCCAACTCATGTTTATAATTTATTATGATAGCTTCTTTAAAATAAGGGCTCGTTTGGGCGGGTTGAGTTTAAGATTCGATTATGCTAATTTATTTAATTGTTTTAAAATGTTTTGGATAAGTTACTTAATAGAGGTTCGAGTGGATAATCCTTCAAATGATTCAATGCCTACTTAGGAGGGCTGAAGTTCAGTGGCTTCTTGCTTTTCAAAATGGATTACACATAGACATCCTATAAATTATATATTTGGTGCAAAATCGAGAGAGCCTAAATATATTGTCACTTTGTCAGTCTTTTTTAAGGGGCATATGCTTCAACATCTTTGAATAGGGAAATACTTCAAAGCGCACTTAAATCAGGTTAACTGAATCTTCAGTTCATCCCTTCCAAACAGGCCCTGAAAGATAACCAATTTGGGACCTAGGTTCACTTTATTTTTTGGGTAAATTGCTGAAACCTCTGTTGAAGTTTCTGTTGCTAAAATCTTCTCTAAAGTTTAGTAACTGCAATCACCTCCCCTAAATTTTTTGATATTATTGTAAATAAACCCCCTTTGGTATGATCTTTTAAAAAAGACATGAAAATTTGAAAATGTCTAAATTATCTATGTAATTTTTATTGAGGTTGGTTTCTACATGAAAAAAATACAAACTTTATAAACAACAAAAACAAAGAAAATTTAAATGAGTAGCTTTATCTTTGAGTGATTGATATGAAGGAAAAATTTGGAAAATAAATCAATTTAAGAAAAGAGATTAAAAAGATTTGGAGTAGTAATTCATATGAATAGAAAATTTGGAAAATAAACATTTTTGGTAAAAGTAACTATATGTGTATTTTGGGCATTTTCATACCCCTTTTTAGAAGATTCTACGAGAAGAGAGTCTACTTGCAGCTATGTCAGAAAGTTTAAGAGAGGTGATTGCAATTACCATTGCCAAACTTCAAGAGAGATTTTAGAAATAATCATAAACTTCAGGAGAAACTTTAGGAGAGGTTTCAGCAATTTATCCTTACTTTTTTATGAAACATAGGCTGTCAATTAGAAGCCACTAGCGCTTTGATCTTCCCAAACAATGCATATATTTGCTTTCGTGGGCATTTCCTAAGGTTTAGTTTGGAAAGAGTATTAGGCTCAGTTTGGGAGGAGTACAAATACAAATATGTAGAGTGCAAAACCTTGAATTTTGCATTATTTTTGTATACATTTGTACTCCTAAATTGAGCATAAGAGGTGTTTTTTAGATAAACATTTATTTGAAAATTGCTACTTTAAACATCTTTTGCTTTCTCTATTTCGTTGGACATTTAATGGGCATTTCAAGTAACACCCTATAAAGTTGCTTTCCACCTCAGCTAAAGTGTGCCATATCAACATAGGCATTGGGGAAGCATGAATTTGATCTTTCCTCAAATGCCCCATGCACATAAATCAAAGTGTTTTAGTTTTTTAGTATTTATATGATAAAACGGAGAAATCAAAAAGTAGTTTCATATGAAATAAACACCAATACCTATGTGGCATTGATGTAATAATGTTTATTCAATAAACGCCCACGCAACCAAAGATATGGTATGTGTTTGGTTCCGCTTACGTTTTTTCGTTCAACGTTTGTACTTTATTTGCTTGCAAAATCGAAAAAGGTAATAATTACAACCGTTTGTGGCAAGTAGGCACCACTAGGCCACATCATCGTAACAGTGAAAAAATGCCTAATCATTTGTGGAAGCTTTAAAAAATATTATCCCCAAACAGTAAGCGTGTACAAAAACTAAAGTCCACTTTTTTCCATTCTCGATGCATACGGAAGAGCAAGAGAGCGGAACTGCTGAAATGGCACCTATGTGGCAACGTTTATTGAATAAACGCCCATGGAACCAAACACTCATAGTATGTATTTAGTTCTGTGGGCATTTATGGATAGTCTATTTATTTGTACTTTTTCACTTTAAATGTTTATTTATACTTTTACTTTAAACTTTTCTTGTTTTTATTATTTGATTGGTCTTCACTTTAAACGTTTTTTACTCTTTACCTTAGATTAATATTCATTAAAATGTCATATCAACATTTGGTTTTTGGAAACACCGGAAGGAAGGTTGGAAGAAACAAGAATTTGATGTTTCCCCAAATGCTACATGTACAAAAATCAAAGCATTTCAACTTTCTACCATTTATTTGATAAAATGATTAAACCAAATAGTTGTTTCATTTTGCTTGATATATAATAAATGCCAATACCTATGTGGCGCTGATGTGACAGCATTGTGTGCCCCAAACATGTGGCTATTATGGCCGATGTGGCATATTATTATTGGTTGGGTATTATCCTTCGTAGAGTACACGTGGATCATTTAAGCAGCCACGTTGAAAGTAAAAAAACCCCCAAAAAACGATTTCTTGGGTGAAGTCACGACTCACGAATACGTACAAAACACGGGTGTATGTGGAACGGTGGGTGTAACCGAGACTTCGTTTCCCATACCGAAATTTCGGTCGTTTAAAAAAAAAGGGTCCCCGGTTCTCGAATCTCGAATCTCGACAGTGCAAACGACAAACGACGATAAATTTTATTTTAACACCGAAATATCGGGGGCCGAGAAAAACATGAGCTATTCTTAGTTTTCAAACTGACAAGTGAATTAAGTCAATTTTCGAAGTTAAGGCGAGGCAGCAAGAGCTTTGCAGTCTCTCTGTGAACTACTCTTGTCTTTTCCTTTTCCTGCCACCACCACCTCCCTCCACCACCTGCAACCACACCACGACCACGACCCTTACCTTCTCTTTTTCTCTCCCCCTCTCTGTCTCTGTCTAAATTAAAAAAAAACCAAAATAGTCCTGTTCTTGTTTCACACAGAGAGATTGACAGCTGACAGACAAGTAAAAAAATCGAAAACACTTGCTACTCTGCATCTCTATTTTCTTCCTTATGTCTTTAGCGACATAGAGAAATAAACACTGAAAGAACTAGGAGTACTTCCTTTGTTCCTCTTCATTTCAACTCAGAGACTTTGTTGGAAAATCCATCTATAGGAAAGAAAGGAAGGGTACTTCTGCAGCTTCAAAGATTCAACCAAGTCCTCTCTGTCTCTGTTATAATATATTATTCTACACATGCAATTGGGTTTTATGTTCTGTCAATGAGTTGGGTTCTTATCGATGTTCTTGGGGGGAATGGGGTGTCCAGTTTCGCGTCTGGCGGCGAAGCTCGCATTCTTCCCGCCACGGCCGGCGACTTACGAGGTGAAGAAGCGGGAAGATGGAAAGGTGGTAATAGTGTCTTCTGCAATCCCTCATGACGATGGGTCCTTCGATGTTCGGTTGCTCAAGACCAAGCGGGGTAACAAGATCGTTGCTTTCTATCTCAGGAATCCTTATGCTCGACTGACGTTGCTTTACTCCCATGGCAATGCAGCCGACCTTGGACAGCTCTATGATCTATTTGTGCAGCTTAAGGTCAATCTCAGGGTTAACATCATGGGGTTAGTTTGTTTTAAAATCCTTTTTTTTTTTACTTTTAGTTTTCTGTTAAATCTTTTCCCTTTCTATTTCTTTTCTGGCTGACGGACTCTGTTTTGAAGAGTAAATTTCCTTACTGGGTTCTTTTTTCAGCATTTCTTTTTGTTTGATGTTTTGGGCTCTATGGTTTTTTTTCTTTTTTTTTCCTTGTGACTGGGGACCATGTACGTGTAGATTTATTTCTGTGGGAGCTAGTTTAGAGATCTATTTCTGGATCATTTACTTTTTGTCAAGTAGTCTTTCTTAGTTTTGATTCTTGGAAATGTGCACTATTTGCTTTATCGTACTTTTAGCATGCAAGGGATTTTCTTTACTTTATTTCTTTTTTTTTTTTTTTTTGAAGTCATTATTTCATGTTTTTTGGTAATATTACCTTTACATAAGTAGGTTCCAACTCCATCTTTTCTTCAATGGGTTTTTCAGATATATATCCAATATCTACAGGGTTTATGCCTTGCTTGTGTTTCTGAGGTTTATTTGTTCATTGTTCGTTTTTCATCTTTTCTTATTCAGAACTCTGTCATTCCATTATGTTAATGGATTTTAGTTGAGATTAGAAGGGAACTTCAATTAACAAACTATTTCAATCTTAGTTCCTGTTTCCTTATTTCTTTTAGAAACACTTTCATTTTCCTTTCTTTTGGGTTCAAGGATACCACTCACCTCTATTCCAAGGAGGCTCCTTCTTGTTTCATGTTCTGGTATGTAGTCTTGTTCAAGTTTCCCCATTTTGTTTTTTAGGAATCCTTTTTGTTATCATTTCCATTTGATTTGTACTTTTCTGTCCAAGTTCCCATGTTTTTTTGCTGCTTCCCATTTACATAGTTGCCAATATTCTTTTCTTGATTGCTTGGTATATGTAATCTTCAATTTCCTGGTATTATCTGCAGATATGACTATTCTGGGTATGGGGCCTCTACTGGTAAGGTAGGTGGTTCTTTCTTTTTAGTCCTTGTCCTTGGGATTATGAGATACTTATCTCAACTATCTTTGCGCTATGTTTTGGTTAGTGAGCATATTCCTTGGAAAAACCAATAAGAAAAAGTAGGTCCATAAAAAACAAATGGAAAAGACAAAAATTTGCTCTATCTACTTGAGCACCTTCTTTGAAAACTAAAAGACTGTTCTCCTTTCTGAGATAAATCTTGGAGGTTGAAAGGCTATGATGCCTGACTTGTCCACTATAATGGCCTACTAGTGTATGCTGTAGGTGGAATCAAAGGGTGTTGCATTGGGCCCAACAGTTTGATAAAATAATCTGGAAGATCTCCTATGCTTGGGAAGTTAATCTGATCATGACGATCCTATACATCCCATTTAATTTGGAAGTTTGCAGAAAGAATGTCCATAGCTGATTCCATATTGGATCATCTAATCAGGTTGATGTTTTGGCTTAGAAGATCTTCCAGTTGGTGTCCATGGATTTGTTGAATCATGGTCCACTCACTTTGTGGACTTGTACTGGTTGAGCATTTAATCTTGATCTACTTTCTTTCACTTTTGATCCTTATTAATGGCTAATGATACTTATGTTGTTATATAACTTCTCAGCCTTCAATATCAGTTAGAACAATGGTTTACATCTTGGAATGCATGATACCCCAGATATCTGTGCAAGGGTACCATGTCATGTTGGATAATTGGATATTGTAGTTTTTAGGGTGAATTACATATCCACACCTTGTCCAGCTGTGAATGGAACCATTCACTCAATATCGTTTCTTGTTTATGTAATTCAGCCAAGTGAAGCAGACACTTATGCAGATATAGAGGCAGCATATGAATGTCTTCAGATTGAGTATGGAGTGAGCCAGGAAGACATGATTTTGTATGGGCAATCAGTGGGAAGTGGACCTACATTGCACTTGGCATCTCGATTACCAAGACTGAGAGGTGTGGTTCTGCATAGTGCTATACTTTCTGGTCTTCGTGTGCTGTGTCATGTGAAGTTCTCTTGCTGCCTTGACATTTACAAGGTGAGTATGCCATGACCAATGCACTTTACAGAAATAAACAAAGAGTACCTATCATTGTAAACTGTACAGATATTTGGCTGATTGAGATGTACAACACGTAAGGAGTGGGCTCCTTTATTCAATGATCCCAGAAAGTCAATCTTTACAGGAAATGAAAATCAGCCACTAAATGGCTTTTTTTGCAACATTTACTAAATGGCCACTTTGTGGAAAAAGGCCAAAAGTTATGTCCATATCCATCTCCAGTCCACCACTCCCAAGTGGCTTTTAACATTTACTATAATGATATAATCATTTGATGCTTTTGATGAGGCCAAATCCTCCACAGGACAAATCAGAATGCATTGGGTAATGGCTCTTAACATTTCTTATAATCATTCTTGATGATACTTTTTTGATGAGGCCAAATCCTCTAAAAAAGCAAAACATTGTGTAACTTGACAGGGGTAGTTTGGTTATTACAAAGAGTTAAACCAAACTACCAATGTAAAGTGGTATAGGCAGTTAAGTGATGATTTATCATCATCCATGCCTTATCCCAACTATATGGGGTCGGCTACATGAATCCTGTTTCACCTATCGTTCTATTTAAATCCATATCCACTGTTAAATTAGTAGTGCTTAAATCATTTATTACTAGTACCCGTCTACCCCAAGCTCTTATAGTCCCTTCAATGTGTAACAAACCACTTTATACAAAAAAGAAAAATCTGGGTAATTTTAGGTATTTTCTCTTTTTTCTTTTCTGAATTAACTTGTTGCTTAGTTGATGTAACAACTAGAAAGCAGTAAAAGACAGCTAGCATGAAAGAACTGAACAATAAAAGTAGAATAGAAACATAACATAACCCATTAAAAATAAGGGAAACAAATAACGAGGGAGATATAAAGAATGTATGTGTGTGTGTGTGGTGTGTTAAAATCAAATAATGAGGGAAACAAATGAATCAACAGATGGGGCCCTTGTTATGTTTAATGTGACAGAGATATAGAGAAGAGGGAAAGTCTGTTAATTGCAAAGAAAAATAAAAAACAAAGTTGGTGGAGCCCCTATTCTCTAGGGTTAGAAAGATTGAGATGAGTAATCATAGAGGATTTTGAAAAAGAAGGAATGAAGAGGCAAAGCCCCTGATTTGCCATAGAGAGAGAGAGAGATGATGTTTTGTTTTATCTTGAAAATTGATAGGGAAAGGAAGTAGAAAAAAAGAGGCCTGTTGTGAATCATAAGAAAGGTCACTAGTTGAAGTCTCTACTGTTGCAAAGACATTTCTTTTGGTTTCCTGCTGTTGTTGTTTGCCATAAACCCATTTTATGTACTTATAAATAGAAAAATGGTCTTGACAAGCATGTTTGTTGATAAGCCAATGAATCATTGGTCCTCTCACTCTGCAAATCATCTAAAGTAGGTTCCTTTCTCATATATGCATGTCTATTATATTTTTACCCTACTATCTGTACACCTTCAATGTCAAATAAACTATACCTGATATTTGTGTTCCACAATAGTTTTGTGTTCTTTCTATTGTCTTTCATAGATACTGATTATACATTGAAAATGCAGAACATCAATAAAATTCGAAAAGTGAAGTGCCCAGTTCTTGTTATACATGTAAGTACTTCCTTCTGATCTTTGATTCTACAGATCTGTGCTTTCCGGCTTTTCAATGTGTTTCTTAAGACATGAACTAGAAAGAATTATTTACATATTCTACTGCATGTCGATTAAAAGATTGTATTTAACTTGGTGATCTTTTGGGGTAATGGGATAATTTCCTTTTTCTTTTACTCTAATTTGATTGCATTTTATCATCAGTTCTGCATAATTACCATCATTATGTGGAGAGTAGTACGAGCATTCTCTATGAAAGCCTTACCTCATAAATCAAGTTTTTACCATGGCACTCGGACAATTGTACCTTCTTTTGGTGTATCAGACACCTACACCTTGATGCCATGTTGTGTTGGTTATTTTCAACTTTTTAGGGTAAATCTGATGTCCAAAACCTTGTGTAGCTGCATATGCTGTACTTGGTTAACATAGACCTATGGTATAAACGTAATCATTTTCTAAGTTTTTTGTTGGATGGTAATAAAATGTGGTTGGCATGCCTCTGTCGCATCGATTCGTCAATAAAAGAAAATAAAATATGGTTGGCATGGCAACAAGGTTTTTTATTTATCCAATATTAGTTCCAGTTAGACTGCCTGGACCTAACTTCTGGTGTTTTTTACACAGTTTCAGCTCTTATACTTGAATCATTCTCAGATTTTAGTTCAAGATTTCACCATTTCAACAAGAAAAATGACCCATAGGTTGCAGGATTAGTTAATCAGTTTAATTTCTAGGCCTGGAGATGTGCAATTTTATGTACATCAACTGTCATCTAGACGCACATACTATGTATAGTGATGACTTCTAGCACTATCAAACATAGTATTACTCAAGGTTC